AATGATCCCCCAAATTTGGTAGAAAACAAGTACAATATGAGGAGGCCTGGAATGGAAGGGCACTTACTTTTCAATAAGGCAGTTACAAAAAAAAAAAAAAAAAAGCCTATACCCCAAAATACAGTCTGATGGGCATAACAGATAATAGAAATGTAAAACAGGGATCCTGTAGCAACCCTCTATCACTGGCAAATGTGTTCATTAAGTGAAAGCAACTGAAGGATCTGTGTTTTAAGATGCAAGCTCAATGAAACAACTGATTGTAGATAGACTGGTCCCACCTTCACTCAGACTGGATGCTATCTCAGAACATCAGATCAACTTTACTCTTCCTAGCCATAAACTTGTAAACAGTCTAATATGATGACAGGAATAAAAAGGCATTCCTAAAGCGCCACGCTTCCTAGGGCATGATCTTGAGCTCCACTGCCCATCAATTTGATTGCCTAGCTCAGTAACAGAGACCAAGAGCCAGGGCCAGCTGAATTATGGACCTCAAAGGACTGCCTGGAAGGCAGAAGTCTGACCAAGAGATCACAGACCAAGCCCATTTTATAATAGGTCTAGGACAACACTACATCTTTCATTAGGGCTTTTGAACGTTGGTTTTTTTTTTTTTTCCTTTTTTTGTCTTTTTCCGTGTCCGGCAATGGATCGCAACCCTCAGTGTCGCCCCCGCACCGGACCGGGACCAGCAACGGGACCGCAACCCTCGGCGCTGCTCCCGCGCCTCGCTCAGCCAGTGAGCGGGAACTGGTCTGTATGTGGGATCCAAACCCTCGGCGGGAGCGCCGCCGCGCTTCCCAAGCGGCGCACTATAGCAGTGCGCCACCGGGCCGGCCCTGAACGTTGGTTTTAAATTATAGGTAGGTTCTTCCCTACCACTTGTTTTGCAAAACTCAACTGGCCTAATTCATTTCACTCAAGCTTGAGTTCTACAAGTTGGTTCACAGTCCCTGAGAGCCAGGATGGCCTTGGGAACTTCTTCTCAGTTACAAGGTCTCAAGAATCTGAGGGCAGCTTACTTTAGACTGGATTAGAGTCATCCTGCAAGTTAGAAAGTAGGAAGAGTGCTGGACAGGTCAAGAGGACTAGAGGTTAGTTCCAATAATGCCATGTGATCTCAGGCAAATATTTTTGAATTTCAGTTTCCCCATCTCTAAGAATGGATTGGACAATAGCAACCTTAAAGGACTCTCCAGCTTTAAAACATGGCACTTCTCTGATACATATAGTCCCTTATCCTCAAGTTCTTATGCTTTGTTTTCTCAATAAAAACAGTGTGAAGGCCTTACAGGAATCTTAAGATACAAGCCCTCAGCAACCACAGAACCTTTAAACTCCATGTGAAGCAATATTACATTAAAATCTTCTAGCTGAAGTTTTTCCTAAGTGACATCACAAACATCAGTTTTTGTGGGGCAAGCCCAAAACTAAGGCCTCATCTGTCTTAGGTTATTTTTTAGCAGGCTGATAACATCCCCTCCTCCCCTTAACTTCCACTGGCTTTGGTAAGAACATGTGAGCATAGGCTGATGGGGTTTTCTCAACATTTTTTAACAAGGAACTAAGCGGAGCAATACTCAGGGGTAAGGACAGTCAGGACACTAAAGTGTCTATGTCCTAGCTCCTCCTTTCCAAAAGACAAATGCTATGCTCTAGGACAATGCCAGAAATTAGGTCCTTTGCCAAGATGGATAACTTGTTCCATGTGGCCCCCCCACCCCCCAATGTACAGAGATTAAGATGGAAATTACAGAGAACATAGAAGAGACAGAGGTTTACAAAGATAGAATAGGCTTCCCCATGAGGTAGTGAGTTCTCTGTCCTCAGAGGTGTTTAAGCCCAGACTGCTCAACCTTGTAGTGGGGTTGTTGGAGGCAGAATGTCAGCACCTATGGGGAGACAAAAGTGGATGACTTAAAAGGCCCTTTCCCAACTTTTGGATCTTGTCAGTGTAATGACTGAGGGCATTCAGATGATTTCCATAAAGCAACTATGCTGGGATCCATACCATGGAAAGCCTACTTCAATAGGCAAGGACCCAAAGTAAGTTCCCTCTCCCACCAGGCAGTTGCCCTGCAGGATATTAACAAAAAACTTTCCACAAAATAAATAGCCAAGAGCCAAGGCTAGATACAACATTCCAGCTGCAAACAATTATTAATATCTCTTTTCTGGAAGGCTAGCGGTGACAATTTAGCTATGACAGGAACATCTAACAACTTGGCAGCTGTAACACATAAGTGAAATTCCTCTTCCTTTTACAACACCGGTCTTGAATCCTTTGGTTTTCAATCTTTTGTGAGATTCAGCTATGATCTTTTTCACATGCTTCCGACAACCTAAGAGTTTAGTCCTTGAAATAAGAAGTTTGTCCGTTTGTTTTTTAAAATCTTAAAATGAAATATAAATGGCAGAATAGTGATATTTCTATGTAACAACCTTCAAGGCATATGAAAAAATCATACCATATCGGACTGAGGCACAAACCGTGCTCTTTAAGAAGACAATGCCAGTTCTGGTTTTCAAATTCCAGTTTGCTCAGGAGCACCAAGAGGAGAGAAGGCAATGCTGCAACATCACAGATGGAGAGAAGTGCGAGTCCTTGACAGGTGGTATAAAAATGCAGGCAGCCAAGATGAACACTGCTTTCCCAAACCCCACTGCTCTCTGAAGCCAGACCATATTGCTTTGGAGGGCCTGGCCAGTTCTCACAGGTAGAAGTCTCTTGCCCACAGAAAAGCCATCAGAAACTGCAGAACAGGCTAAGGCAAGTGGTTTAGTGGTTTGATGAAAGAACCGATTTCGGACAGAGAAAAACAAAGTTCAAATAGCTTTGTCTTTTCTCTCACCTGATCTGTTTTAAAAGGTTGAAAAGAAACCCACAACCTCTACTTTTCAAAAGCTCCTCTCTTTAGTGGAAAAATGACAAGGGACTCAAATGTGCATGGCATCTGGCTGAAGGTGAAAAGTTTCCCCAGGCTTCACTCTGGAACAAAAGCATTCTCACAGACATGCGTGAACAGACGGATCCTAACACCACATCTTGTAAAGAAATGTACTCTGACTCTCTCAACTGGGAAAACAGATTTGCTGTTAAAGAAACACTGACATGACCTACACACCCACAATTTTGGTTTGAATATCAGATATACTTTCTTCCTCAATAAGACATGGACATTGCCATAGAGCAAGTTAACAATGCCTTAACCTGCAGACCCCATCTACCCCCAAACTCCAGCCCCTGATAAGCCTCCTTGAGGCCTACACCTATATCAACATCCTTCAGCTATAAGTAGGGAAACAATCTCTAAATACATACTGAATCTGAATGACTGAAAACATTCACAGAGCATCTTGACACGCCATCCACAGCCAGGATTCATATCAAAATAGGATTCCCTCATAGTCCAGAGTATATTCTATGTACATTCATTTATACATATTTAAATGGCTGCAATCTGCTAGACATGCATTTTGAACATTGGTGAAAGCTTTGCTGCAATGGAACACACTGAATTTTAGTGAGAGTGGTGGCCCTGTCCCCATTCCACAGAAAGCATAGTACTCTGCTCCACAGAACTGAGACCTTTGGACACTCTGCCACACTGTTCAGTGGGGGGTTAGTTCTGACTTCTCTGTGATTGTGTTCAGAATAAGCCGTCTATGAAATTCTGCCAGGCCACGCTGTTCATTGCTCCTTTTATTATTTAAGGCTTAAGAAATAACTCAGAATTGAAAGTGAGTAGGAAAATGACACCTTTAACCATAATAAATGTCAAGATGATCATAAATCAGAATCCAAACCCTTTGTCATTTTCTCACACACTCCTACCCACACTCTCTGCTCCAAACATATTGACTAGAGAATTTTGCAAAAGTATATTTTTTGATATAAAGCTTTGTTTTAACAGGATACTCTGGCTCTGATTTAATTAGATAGGAATCTGACTTTGTGAACAACAAAAAATCAGGTAATTATTAATACTTTTAAAAAATTATTTTAGCAACTTTTATCCCTAAGAGGGAGGCAAATTTGTCTCAAAAACGAGCATCAGATGGCACTGACCTTTGTTGCTCAAACTCATGCTTTGCTGCTGAACACAGCCCAGGGAGTCAAGGCCAGCCATTCTGTCCCACAGCTGGACTTCTGAGCAGGAATCACATGGTCCTTGGCAACTTTTGTGGTGGCTGTGAACTAAGGATTAATACTTCTGAAAACATTAGCCCCAAACCACTAAATATCTGTTTGTTAAAGCATTTATTGCCTAGGAGCTTGGCTAAAATCATAATACATAACTTTACCCCAAAGAGTGAGAGTAGAAGGGTGTGCAAAGGACATCTCCTGTGAGGGTCTTTGTATCAGTGTTTCTGGAACCTTGACAAATATAACTTTTCTTATGCAACTGCCCTGAAATCCTTGTTTGATTTGATTTGAAACCTCCTTGTTGGTAGATCAGGATTTCCTACACACTCTAGCAATTAAGTGGTAAGCAACAGAAATGGAAGAGGTCTCAGTAACAAGAAGTTGTGAAGCAGATGTTACAAGGCTGGCACTGTCAGTGACAGCTCAATTAGCCAACAAATACTGATTGAGTACCTACTGTGTACAAGGCACAGGGCGAGTGAGGGGGACCTTGTCAAACCGATTTGCTGTAAATGACAAAGCTTGCAACAGCAGGACATCTATGTCCCCAGCAGGCAGCACGCAAGTCCAGATGGGTCTGCTCGTGCATCCCCACCATCAATTGCACCTTGCTGCTATTCCAGGGCTATGTCTCACACATGGTAGCCTGGTATTACAAAGGTGACTACCAAAATATTTCTTATCCCACATTTCTAGTAGAATTGACTTAATCTTTGTTGAATGCTGCGATACATAGTTTTTCCTTAATTCTTTTTATAATCTTGTTTTTTAAGTCCAGCAGTCATCTTAAAAGAAAGTCTTTCTATATACATGCTGAATCATGAGAATATAATCCTCCTGACCAAAAAGATTTACAGTATTCATCATTCAAATGTTTTTATTTACAATAAAATTTAACAGTCTTTACAGGCTTAAATGTAGCAGATATCACCTGTGCACTAAGCATTATACTTCATTCCTTTAAGGTGTGCTTCATCCTCACTCAAGCTGCTTGCCGCCCTCTGATTTCTGGTCCAGTCTACTCTTGTTACTCTTCACCATGTAGATGAAGTAGGCAAGGGTCTCTTTTTCATTCACAGGTATGTTCCTGAAGTGTCGGCTGACAGTCTACGTGGGGGAAAAAACCAGTCCCTTAAATCACGCATAAATCAGGGCCACAAATTCTAAACTGTGCAAAAGAGGGGACAGGGAGTTGCTTCCAGTGTTACAGAAGGAGTTATGACTACTGCAGAACTTTCTATAGTAGTGCAGAACTCAGAATGCCCTTCTCCCCCAGGGGTTTAAGTGGTTTGGTTTCCAGGCTTTCAAAAGTGGTAGTTTAACCTACAACACTAACAAAACACAGTTCTATTTCAGTGACAACCAACCATCTATCATGGCATCATTTCATGGCCATCCCCATGGAGGAAGAGATTGGGACTTCTCTGGTTGGCCAGCTGCTGGAAAGACCAAAAACCAACCAGGCTGTGAGCCTCAATCTCTGAATGGATCAAGGTAGCCAGGACAGATAAAAAGACAGAGAATGAGAAATAAAGAGTGGTTAGATTGTGAGTATTTTTCCTTTTCTCTATTTTTCAAATTTTCTACAACAATAGGCAGAAAAACACATTTTAAAAAGAGGGATGAGAAGACACCCACACAAATGCCAAGGACAGAAGTATCAAGCCAGGCTGTCAGTATACTAAAAAAAATGGCCAGTGGAGCATTTTCCAATCCCCTCCAAACTGTGTTAAGAACTCTGTGCAGCAGAAAACTTTCTTGGGTGTCATTCATTATAACAAATACTTCCATTACCGACACCAGAGTAGTTGAAGAAAAAAACAAAGAAAGAAAAATAGCTCCTGCAGAACATCGGTGAAGTTTTGGGGGATGATTAATCTGACACACCTGATGTGCAGAAAGGACCTTATCTATAAAGAACCTTGCTAAAAAGATTCAAACAAATGAACAAACAAAAGAACACTCAGGACTTAAAATCAGAAGTCCTGAGATTCCAAACTCAATTCTGCTACCAACTTGCTGTGTGATTTTAAAGCAAGTCCTTTCCTGTCTCTGTGCCATGGTTTCTTTACTGGAAATGGGTCCTCTCCAGGTCTAAAGCTATGAGATTCTACATTAAGCAAAAGAGGGAATAGAGACTTGCTTCCAGAGCTATGGAGGATATTACAATTAGCAGACACATACAGTGGGAGGGGAGAAGCAGGGTCACCATCAGAAGCACAGTGTTGGCTCTTTCTTTTTAGAGGGCAATTTTGTCTACCTACTTCTGCTAATTGGGCCTTATTGAAGCCTGGTCTGGTCTGCAACTTGTAGTGTCGTTTATAACGTCGTAGAGTGTTTACCTGCAGCTGGAACAGATCAACCTAGAGAGAAGAGGAGAAACACATTATGCATGGTGACCAGCCGGGACTCAGCAAGAGCCCACTGTGTGCCTAGTGCTACGTGAGGTAGGGGTGAGGATGGGGAGGGCTACAAAAGAAGTCTTAGAAATGGTCCACTGAGAACTAGTAACTGGCTAGGACAAAAATAACAGTAGAAAAAGAGTTCTGGCTGAAGTGAGGTAAGCTGATCTCAGAAGGTTGGGAGAGGAGGTGAAACTTAAGCTAAGGAGGGGCAGGTCTAGAAAGGCAATGAGGAATAGAGTAGGAAATGAGTAAGAAGATCATGAGGACAGAAAGCGGGGAGACAAACTGGGTCATAGGTGATGGTGGTGGGTTGAAAAGATGAGACTGAACAGTGGCATGTCTTGAAAAACAGAAGGAACTGTCACAGGTGGTAGAGGGTGATGCTTCAGGAAAATGAATCTGGTGGTGGTTTAGAGGGAAGATTGATGAGGGGTGGGGCACAGAGGGAGATACCGTAACAATGATCTAGAAAAGACATGATCAATTTGGGCTTCGGAGGGGTGGTGATGCTAGTGGGGGACACCAAGGATGGAGAGCAAAGGCAAAAACCAGAAACACATCCTGCAGGAAGACATGCCAGAATCAGGTAGCAGACTGGACAGAGGGGCATGAAGGGCAATGGGAAGAACTATTATTCTCACATACTTCTTTCCTAGGCTCAACCTTCAGGTATTAGAATCCTTAACAACTCTCCAGAGAAAGCTCAGAAGCTACTGTAGTGAATGTACAAATCAGCAGGTTAGGGTCAGGGTCTTGGCGGATGACTGGATAACAGAGGGGAAGGGACCCCCCCCCCATTTTTTTCTAACACAGGAAGAGAGGAAAGCTGCACAGTCATGAAATATTGAAGGCCCAGAAAGTTGGGCTGCCTTTACCTGCCTCTAAAAGAGATGTTCTTGCTTCAGGCAGGTGGAGAGCACTTAAAAACAAAATGAATGATCAACATGAGGGACAAAGGTCCTTCATTCTTTTCAAAACATTCCTCAAAACCTTTTTTTTTTTTTTTTTTGGTGAAAAGCACTTAGAAATTGAATATATCCATTTCTTTATAAAATAATAATAATGCTAAAGGTAACAGAAAGATACTGTAAACCAATGTTGGAAAAGGGGACACAGGGAGGGGCAGAGCGAAAGGTCCGGAATTTCAAAGGTTCCCCCCATATCTGCAGACAAAGGCGTGCCTACTCTTTCTATTCCTACACAGCCATTTTCACTCTGAGTGCTAACAGGCAGTTGTTTTATGAAATATTCACGCACCAAATATTCAATGTACACTATAAACGGTTCTTCTTTTGCTGAGCCTTAAGTGAAAACAATTTAGGTAGAAAGAAAATTGAATATTCCTTCCTGGAGCTTCACCTAATAGACACTGGCACCTTGAAGGAGAAGGTCTTCTGGTCTGAGAAGCTTGGTCTGGTGCAGTGGTTCTCTACAAAGGATGATTTTGCACCCCCAGAGGACTTTTGGCAATGTCTACAGACACTTTTTAATTGTTGTGACTAAGGGGGTGGTGTGACTGGCATCTAGTAGGTAAAAGCCAGGGATACTGCTAAACATTTTGCAATGCACAGGACAACCCCCGAAACAAAGAATTATCTGGCCCCAGATTTCAATAGTGCCAGGGCTGAGAAACCCTGATCCAGTACAATTGACTTTGGAATGGATCCTTGGAAACAAGCTTAGACTAGGAGCCATGGAGTCAGAGTGACAGACAGTCAGAGCTGGTATGAACTGACAACTTAGACCTTCATTTTATAGAACAAAGACGAAGAGACGACTTCCCCCAAACCAAATATTCTCAGTCTCCAACTTTAAAGGCAAAAACAAATTTTTTAAAAAATTTGACATTGTGGTCAATTTTAAGCATTTGTCAGGGGCTTTTTGAAGAAATGAAGTGTGGTCTACTGAAAATGGCACTAGATCAGACCCTCCAAACTATATATGTGACCTTGGGTCTTTGTGCCTGTCTGTAAAATGATAGGGCAGTCAGACCAGTTGATTTCCAAGCTTTCTGCTCTCAGATTCAATATTACTATGATTCTATGACTCATCTTTCAAATAAACCACAGCAAAACAAAGGGGACTAAAGTTACTTCTTAGCACAAAAGCAGACCAGAGGTAAGGATCAGATTAGAATCCATTCTTCCAGCTTTCTCAAGCTGATGTTTTTGGCTTTTACCTCGGGAATGTCAGTGTCGTGCTCAGGAGAATCTCCACCATCATCACTTGTCTTCCTCTTCCTTTTATTTCGGACACTCTGGATGAAATTTTTGTGAAAATCGCAGATATACAGGTGCCTTACCTGATGGGAAGGAAGTTAAAGTCAGAGTTGCCAATTCCATGGAAACAGCAACAGGTAATCTGTCAAATTATGGTGCTTTTCTCCTTTGCAAAGCATTGGAGAGACAGAAGGAAGAACAAGATGTGGGTCATAATTTCTAGAAGCTTACTACTGAGTTGCAGAACAAGAAAAACACACTAAGAGAGTGCTAACACTACACTGGGCAGTGTCTATAAACCAAGCCTCCACTGAATAGTAAAGACAATAAATGGGATGGATTCAGCAATGGGATGGATAGATTCCTGCAGCAGAGACAGTCAGGATGGAGGCCCCTGACTAGAAGGAAGGATTTGTAGGCAGACAGGCAGTATTCCAGATGGGCAGGAGAGCCAAGACTTAGAGTTTCCAATGAGAGTGACAGAAGGGGTGAGTGAGAAGGGCCAGGGTATGCAGCGTCAGTTATGGCGGGGACTGCCCATGTAGAAGCACAATGAGAAATTCAGGGGTTGGAGCATGAGAACAGCTTATACTTTCCTTCAGACAAAACAGAGTCCCTAAAGGTTTTCGAAGCAGGGAATGATGTGACATTTTCGGATCTGTAGGAGTTTATGAACTTCAGTGGGCTGGAATGCATTACCCTGGGGAGGTGGAAAGCAAGAAAGAAGAGACTGTGGTAATGGTATATGAGACATCCTATTTCTACACTGACAACAGTGTACTATTGTAGGGTGATAACTCTATTGCTACTATTCTAGGGTGATAACTCTCTGAAAAACTTTATTTCCATATATCAATTTATAATTCTTGGACCACCTCACATCTGATCCACAAAGAGAAGTGGAAAGAGATAGGGAAATTCTCACAAGGTTGAACCACATAAAAGAGGGTGGATACTACCGCTGATTTTCTAAGATAGGCTGGAGGCAAACTAGTGAAGTGAAGATGACAACAGCTGCTAAGATGTGAAAAATATGTTTTTATTTAAGAATGTAAGTACCAGGGTTGGCTAGGGGAACCACTCAAAAATCTCACAGAAACTGAATGCCTGTATAAATGACTTGGGGTTGTTGATATTGAAACAGATGTTGCACAAATGTTCTGGAGAGACTTCTGAATTTGAGTTTATTCCTTAAATCCTTAAAGATAAAAGTAAGCTGACAGGACATCAACATCGATTAATTCAGTCCTTTTCAAGGGGAAGATAATAAAAACTGTTTATTTATTCAGATGAATTATCACTTTCACGTGGTTGGATTAGTGAGTCATAAGTAGTTTTAAGTTTATGCTGTGATGGTGTCTTGCAATCAGCGGGTAGTCAATAAATGCTGATGCATCAATACAGGCAGTCCCTTACACCTAAAAGTAGCTTAGACCAGTAAAAGTCACCACTTACATGGTTACAAATTGGGATAGCTTTGCCAGATTCAACTCTCATAACACTTTCAGACACAGCACTGTTCCAAAGAATCCCACTTCACTGACGTATATACTACTGGACATGACTTTTTCTCCAGGAAGAAAGCACACCAAAGTGCGCTCTGTATCCCAGAGGAAGCTGGTCCTCTGTGTTAGCCAGGTTGGTATGTAAACTCTGAGAGATTAAGCTGCTTCTCAAGTACAAAGAGTGACAAACTTAGTAGGAGAATCACAGGCAGAATAGGTGATTTCCTAAAGCTTTGGCTAGGAGATTTCGGGTCAGGACATTAGAATAATGGAATCCTAGCTGGAAGAGAATTTAACAATAACTCGTGCAACCCTACTGGCCTCAATCTCATTTTCTAGAAGAGTAAAAAGAGTAAACTAAAGCCACCCAGAGTGGGGAATTGACATAGCTAAGGTCTCCTAGGTCTTCTGACCTCCGGCACATGTCCTTTCCTCCCCCAACATTTTCCTTTATACTATCCTTTACTTCTACTTTTCTCCAGGTAAAAAGCAGGCATACAGGCTGAATATCCCTTGCCCAAAATGCTTGGGACTGGAAGTGTTTCAGATTTTGGACTTTTTTCAGATTTTAAAATATTTGCAGATTATATACAGGTTGAGCATCTGTAATCTGAACATCCAAAATCCAAAATGCCCCAATGAGCAGATTTTGAAGCATTTCAAATCTTGGATGTTCAGATTAGGGAAACTTAATCTGTATGTCAATTGGAGAAATGTTTGCAAGTCTTTTTCTTTTTCTTTTCTTTTTTTTTTTTTTGAAGAGAGCAAATTTGGTTTAATGTTAGAAAACCTATTTATGTAATTTATTAATAAAATATTAAAAGAGAAAAAAGCATATTGCAAGTGTATCTTAATAAATCATAGAACACTGCCAATGTCTATGTAAAATGAGATAAACTACCTGAGTTGAATTTTTGGTGCTGTTATAGTCACTGTTTCTCCTTAACTATTTTCAAGTACACACTGGTTTTCAGAAACCTTAGAGCTTAGTGGTGTTTGGGGGTGGGGTGGTGGCAGGAGGGTGGTAACAAAGTGCTTTTTAGTTTTCCAGTGCGTTACCTCCCCCCCTGCCCCTCAGTTTCTGCAACAGCTAAAAATTCTTGTTATACAGCAGTTACTTGGAATTGATTCCTGCCCAAGCCTGTGAGAATGAAATAGAATCCCTTTCAGAAACAATGACTCCACACCACCACCTTGAAACAAATTGTGAGTGATTCCACCTCAAAACCCTACTCCTTCAGAAGCATTACCTTTTGGGAATGCTAGCCTTAGGCTGCCTCTCTTCTAGACAATGCGGGTGAAATGATCAACATAGCCCAACACAGGTTTTCTAGTGGGGTAAATGGGTAAATGGAGCCCCACTAGCAACAGTGAAATCATTCAGATGTGAAAGCATCCAAGGATTTTAAAGGACTTGAAATTTCTTTTTTTTAAGGACTGAAAAATATTATAAACTGCTCAAGTAAATACTTCTAACAACTTACACAGAAGGTAGGCAGTGCTTCCAAGTGGATGAATTCATTGCCGTCCTAGAATTAAGCACTTTTCTCCAACATGTGACCTAATCAGGGACCACCTTGGTGTCTAGCCAATTGTTTGCTCTCAGAAGAATTCCATTCATTCATTCATTGATAGAAATTCATAATAAGAAAGCCACTAACTCACCCCAACCATTTAAAAACAGCACCTTTCCATGCGAGGGCTGCAAATGTATTATAACACTCAACTTTTAGAAAAATTGCAAGTGGGAGGGAAGAGCCTGGAAGAAAGGACAGCGAAGATGTTTTATTTATTAAAGACTTAATGAAAGCTTTCTGCACAGGGCTTGAAAGTAAATCAGATAATGGGTTTAAGAAATTAACCAGCCTCTTAGGTGCTGTATGTATTTGACATGGTCACTTCCTATCTCTGGGCATTCAAGCCCTGTGCATATGCCTTACTAAGAGTTTCAAAAGTAAAATCAGAAGTGAAAAAGTAGGCTCCCTTTCAGTTTAACAAGCAATCTCTGATTTTCTCCAACTGTGAAGAAATTTTGGTCCTAAAAGAGAATGGATGTTAATCATCTAAGCTCTTAGCTAGGCTACCTGAATATTAAATACCCCCTTAACTCGTTTCCAATTCCTAATCAGGAAGCAGCCACTTAAGGCCTGCAGCAACAGATGTCAAACTAAAAAGTTCTTAATTGGTTGACAATAGGCACATCTTTAGAATTGTTAAATAAAAGTGGTGAAATCACACTGGAAAAGTTTCCTATAATTAGGCACAAAGCGCGGGGAAATCCTATTTAAATTTAAATATCCATTCCCACCCCCACCCGCCACCACCGCATTTCTAAAGAAACGACCCTTAAGAAAATTTATTTTTTTCCCCTTCCAGTCACACTGACTGCAAGAGCCATCTCCCAAGACCTGGCCTTGTCCTTATTTCAGTCACATCACAGAAAAACCCATTCGATTTTTCTACGGCTGCCTGCGAAGCAGCTCGCTCGGTGAACCTCTGCAGAAAGTAAGGCCGCGAGAGACAGGGAAGTAACTGCCACCTTTCCTTGTCTGAAGGAATAACAGGGTTCCTAGAAGAAAGAAGTTAGAGAAGAGCCGGGTCCCTTTATCACCCCCTCCCCAATTGAGGCTCCTTCATGGGCCAACAAAATTAACCCACCTCTCTCTGCTCTAATATCTAAACCAACAAAACAAGCTAGAAACTGCTGTCAAATCTTCCCAGGCAGGAAGAGTCCTCGAAGCCCCCCCCGCCCCCAACCTTCCGGATCTGGGCAGAATCACAGAGCGTGTCAGCGTTGAAGCGGCCTTCGAAATCCCGAGTCCAACTCCTCAGTTTTGCAGATAAGGGCGGCGAGGCCCACAGCGGGGAGTGCCCGGGGCAGCGGCCGGAGAGCGGCGGGGCGCGGGGGCCCAGGCGGGGCGGGGGCAGACTCACGCTCTTGTCGATGTCCAGCTTGAGTTTCTTCTGCGAGATGCTCTTCTGGACCCTCTTGCTGAAGGAGGCGTTGCCCGCGGGCCGGACGCAGCGTTCGCCGTCCTCGATGAGGCAGCAGCTCTGGCCGTATCCCGGGGCGGCGGCGGGGGCGG